TAAATATAAGACATGAGTGTACATGAATGTAACAAATTACTTTATTACATGTATGTCATGTAAAAATTACTTTATGTAAACTGCCCATGTAGTTACAGCTTACATGTACTTGTATAGTTGGCATAAGGTGACATAAGACTATAATTTATAGAAGTGTTACTGTTCATAGTGTTTACTGACCAGTAGCATTCCTCTAATTACAGAATCCAGACACTTTGTTAACATGTTGTACAATATGTAGCAAACTCAATCAATAGAACCATCCAATACAAAAGTACAATATACATGTACATGTGTTTATTATAATATTGTGCCCATTCCTTTATTTTAGGGTATATTTTAATGTCTGTTTCTCTTATGCATCAAGATATGAGATTACTGATACTATAATACAGTCACTGGTTGATGGATCTCATGATGGTACTATACTACGAACGTAAGTATATGTACATACATGCATCATAGTCATACTTACACATACAACGTACACATACATGTATGCTGTATAACTGTGTACATGTACTCTTTCTACTCTGCTGTGTCCAGACATGTGCATGTTTAGTGGCATTGGGATTTGTCATTGATTTGTTTGTACAAGTTCAATAAGACCATCTACTAACATTTAGTGTACATATACATGTACATGTATGCTGTATGTACAGGACTCACTTTGTTACGTTGATTTTCATTATTTTGTATAATGTGTGTGTCCTGTACCAGCTATTTGACATTTCGCTTAGAATTGTTATGATATGATTATTGTGTTTTATTTTAGTGTGACTGGTTGACTGGTTGTATGAGTGTATGCTTGTATGTGAATCCAGTGGACAGTACATGATCATTCAATATTACTACTTCTATTATACATACATTATACAAGTACGTGTATTTACATTATAAAGATATCAGTGAAGAGTTAATGGAGAGATTTCTTTATACTGGTACATGTACACCACCTGATCTTGTCATTAGAACATCAGGAGAAGTGAGATTAAGTGACTTCCTTATATGGCGGGTAATCTTTGAATGATTAGTTAATTAATATATTTATTATTAGAGCTCTTATTCTTGTCTCGGTTTTCAAGATGTGTTGTGGCCAGCGTTTTCTGTTTGGAATTTATTCTCTTCGATATAAACATACCAACAAAATTACAATGATATAAAAGTTTGTTAGTGATTAATGAAATCCTATAGCTGCCTGTGTAGTGTACTGGTATGTCAAAACACTAGATTTTCAGAAAAGGTAAGGGGGAGGGATTAAGTAGTGAAGCTTGTATAAACTACAAGATCTCTTCTGTATATAGAATGGTGGATTGTTTGTGTAAACTATCTTTAAAGAGACCATTTTGAATGAGAAAGCAAGGATTCAGCTACATGTACATGTAGTTTGTGGTGTGCTGATGGCCAGTAATAGGGAGTGTGGCTCTGTATTTTAGTAGTTTAATAACCATACTTTTATAATTGTACACATTCACTAATTTCACTTACTAGGTAGCAAGAGAGTACATGTACATTGAGAGGAAGGACAAGCAGTATAAATCAGACAGAGACTGTGCATTAGTACAATATTATAAAGAAAGAGGAGGAGGAGGAGGAGAAGGTGAACTATCAGAAGCAGTACTAGAAGAACTCATTAGTCATTATGCTGCTGAGAGAAAGAAAAGATTTGGAACTCAACTATTTGTACAATCATTGATCAAGAAAAGAAATAACTATCTGCAAACAGTATAACTGAACAATAATTGTCATTATGATTATACTGCAAATGATTATCAGGTTTATAATGTGACAGTCAACATGGTCAAGTTATGAGAGATGAGATTATCAAAACTCCATTTGATATTTATTTGAGTGTTTTTGTTGCTATGAGTGACTCCATGCATGCTGTAATAGATTATGTTGCACTCCAAAATTAAATGACAAAATGTACTGCATTGAGCTCAAAACAAATAATAATAAATATTGCCAATATTAATTGTATGTTAAAGACATAAAACAGTTAGTTCATTGTTATAGTTACTCTCTTGTTCAGCTACAAACAAATTAATATTCTTCTTCTAATGGTACACTCACAGAAGATGCTGGAGTCATCATAATTGCTGGAGGAGTTGAAAATACAAGTAGTCAATTGGTTGGATCTACTGCTTCAGTTGGCCTCTCCATCATTTACTGTGTAGACTGGAGCTTACTCAACTGAACCATAGATATGGACCTGTCCATATCTATGAATGAACACTGCAGTCGTGTACATTCCACTGTTTCACTACATTATGCTATTCTCTAGTGCTTCAGATATATGCCATTATGCTTACAATATTTATTGGCTATGCTTACAATTATTCTGAATTATTATCAAAATTATTTTTTTAAAATAAAGAATTATTATTTATCACACATTTATACTGTATAATCAAGGAACATTGTACATAGTCTCCAAGAGAGTGACTTTGCTGGGGGCTAAATGGGCAGCTATGTTAACACTTCACATTCAGTGAGTGAAGTCACATGGTTGAAGTTAATTGACTAATCTGGAATAATGCTTAATTCCTATTTTTTTATAGTGTGGTTCATTATGCTCAATATTATGCTAGCCTAATATGCTCAAGCCTAGGGTCTATAGCATACAAATAAACCGGAAATCGAATTATGTGGGAGTTTCTGTGGTTTCATAATGTCAACCAAACCAGAGGAGCTAAAAAGAGCCTTTGACAGAGAACTTAGTGAGTAGATATTCATAATAATTGTTTTATTAGTATTATTAATGATAGATATTACTGATTTTCAATTGGTATGGGAAAAAGCTGGTGTTCTTTCAGGACGCTGGGACTCTATGGCTATCATGTTAGGATTGAGCCCTAACAAGTTATATGAGATTGAAGCAGGGGGCAAACCACCAAGAACTTGTTTCTGGAAAGTATTTGATTGCTGGTTAAAGAAGGACTATGATTATAAGAGTCATGGCGTACCTACATTAAGAATGCTGTGTAAGTCCATTAAAAGTAATAGTGGAGGAGCTGATCCAGCTCTAGCTGATAAAATAGCAAAAGAATGTAATCTTACTAGTAGTGGAAGGGCAACTACATCACCAGTTCATACTTCATCTTCTAAAAGTACTGTAAATAAAAATACAATAATTAATAATCAGTTTTATTTATTATTTCAGAAGTTACTCCAACTGTTGAGCTACCAGTTCCTACTTCACCTCAATCTGAGTCTTCAGTCGTTTACGTTACGAAAAAATCAATTGAATATTCACCTGAGAACCTGACACGAATGATTGGAGACCTAAAAGAAGTTTACCTTGATAATATGTATCATACAGAGAAGTCCTTCCGTTCTATTGATGTCTCAGAAGTTATCGATTTCGTTCAACATTACATTGCACTTTTACTCAGTCCACGCTTTCAAAAGCCTCAAATGATTGATTCAATTGGAAAAAACTTTGACCATGTTAAAGAAATGAAGCAGCTATTCAAAGCTTTAAGTAAGTACATCTCATGGTTTAATTTTGAACTTGTCATCAAGTTAGTCAATACTTTCATTACTGATGAGAGAGATTTACAGAGGAAGTGGTCTACATATCGTGACAAATTAAAAGACTATTTTAAAAATAACAATATTCCAGCAGTTCAAATTGCAGACTCAATTGAGTTTGGTCTTTCTGATGTTCCAGGCACCAAAGTAATGATTGCTAAGGTTGCCAGAGACGACTACACATCAAATGATTTATATTTCTTTCACAAGCTAATTGCTGATGCACTTGAAGTTCCAAAATATAAATTCTATTTTTGTACAATTCAAAATGGCTGCATGGAATTGAAATATTCTATTCCTGATTTTCTTTACTCTGCTCTTTTTCCATTAACCAATCAACAGTGTAATTCATTAGCTGAGATTGGAATCATAAAAATTACTTGTTATGAATATGTACATGAAATGAAGCAGGTATGTTAATAATTACGTGCAATAATTTATTTAAAAATATAATTATTTTTTATAATTGTAGTTGCCAGAAAATGAATTAAAGAAGCTTCATGATTCTCCTATTGGTAATTATTATTATTATTAACTTTATTTATGATATTATTATATAGATATTCATGATCCTCTCTGGTATGAGAATACCAGCACTCCATTGAATGAAGCATGTTGGAGAGGATTAAAAGATGAAGTACAACGATTGATTGACAAGACTGGCCTTCAGGAAAAAGGTAAAAATGGATGGAGTCCACCATTAGCTGCTTCATATGGTGGCCACATTGATGTCCTCTGTCTCCTCATTGATGTTTATCATTGCGATCCTTCACAAGGTGATGATGATGGTGTTAATAGTTTACACATGGCCTCATATAAAGGTCATCTCAATATTGCGCAGTATCTAGTTAACGAATGTCACATTAATCCAGACATAGCAGATAGCTCTGGTAACACGGGATTGCTTTACTCAGCACTGGGTGGTCACGTTGACCTTGTGATTATGTTTTTTAAGAAGAAGTGTAACGTATCTCATGTCAATAGAGAAGGATCCACTTTATCATTATTAGCATGTAAGAGTGGACAGGTAGCATTAGTCGATCAGCTTAAGCAGTTTGATATTTTCTCAGAAGACAACATAGACTTTAACGGATGTGGAGTAGTACATTATTGTGCTATGACTGACAGTGTGGACCTTCTGGTGTATCTTTATAATACTTATAAAAGTGAATTATTTCAAAAAAGAAATCGTTTTGGTGCAACACCACTTCATATAGCATGCCAGTATGCTTCATCAGGTTTCATTATGAAAATGGTTAATATTTTTGGATATAAAGTATTACTAGAAGATGATTATAGTGGTTGCTCTTCTCTTCATTACTTATGCAGTGGATTGGTTGATAAATACTGCATTACAGAAGTGTATAATAAGCTCACTGCACCATGTGATATACCTTTTTTTATGCAAATTCCTACATTTTACACAATAAACAGTAACATTTTTCAGAAGTATATATCACTAAATATAAATGTTACTAAACAGCATAAAAAGGTGAGCCTTTTATCTACACTCCTCAAGAAGACAAGCATTATTAATAATTTTAATATAAATTCTATTACTGCTACTGGTCAATCATTGGTCCATTTAGCATGTACTAGTGGTAGTATATTATTAGTGAAGGTATTAGAGGAGTATGGTATTAATACAAGTTCATTAGATTATGAGGGTCGGTCCGCAGTACATTATGCTGCTTTATCGGGTTCACCTACTCTACTCAGTTATACTGTATCTCAGTATAACTTAAATGTCAGTCAACAAGACTACAAAGGTGTAGTACCATTAGCATTAGCTTGTATGTCAGGTAGTATTAATGCAGTGGAATTTATTATCAATGCTACTGACATTGATATCAATATAACCTGTAATGATGGTAGAACACCTCTTCATTATTCATGTCGTCATGGTAACGTTGATCTTAGTCAATATCTCATTGAAGTACAAGACAGTGACATTAACATAACACATAATGAGAAATTGAATACATTAGGTCATAGTGCTAGGGGTGGTAACATAAAGCTAGTCCAATACCTCATTAATAATTATCAATTGCCTCTCTCATCAAATGTATTAATTCAAGCAGTATTTAGTAATAAACTGCCATTAATTAAATTATTAATTAATGAACACAAACTAAATCCTCATGTTAAAGGTGGTGACAACATGCAAGCAGTTCATTTTGCAGCTCAAAGTGGTAGTATTAATGTTCTAGAATATTTAGTAAAAGATTGTGGATGTGATTTGGATAGTGTAGGTGGACAATACAAAATGAATGTGCTTCAATATTCTACATTAAATGGTCTGTTTTCATTAATTAAGTATATTATTAATAATTATCCACAATATACCAGTTTATTACATTCTACTGATGATAAAGGTGCGCTACCAATTCATTTAGCTTGTGCTAGTGGTGTCATACAACTAGTGACATTTCTAATTGATGAAATGAAATGTGATATCACTACTGAAGATAAAGATGGCTACACTTGTGTTACAAGAGCATGCGAATCTGGAAATCTTGATCTTTTAAAACTATTAATAAACAAATACAACCTTAATCCAAGAATTCTTGGCGGAAAATTATCACCAACAGTTGCAGTGTTTGATGGATATGTGTATATACTAGAATGGCTCAGACAAGAGTATCATATCAATGTAGTCTCATTTAAGAAAAGTTCATTACCTTTTGATGCTGCACAACGTAACCATTTGTATTGTTTAAAGCATTTATTAAGCAATTATTTATTTGATATTAATGCCATTCATCCTTTTGATGATTCTCAACCTACACTCCTTCACATAGCATGTCAAAAAGGACATGTTGCTATAGTTCTTTACCTCACTAGTCTTCCTCAGTGTGACGTATCAGCTAAAACTTCAAATGGATCAACAGTTCTTCATTTATCATGTAAAAGTCATTCTCTTCCTATACTCAAACATCTAGCGGAGGAGCATCAGTTGGATCTCACTATTAAAGATTACAATGGTATGGCTCCAGTTCATGTAGCCTGTGAAGAAGGATCATTGAGTATAGTCAAGTACATTATAGACCATTCACCATTATCTCTTGACTTGACTGACTCTTTTGGACGTACTCCACTACTTATTGCAGCTTTCTCTAAGAACCTTCCCATCATTCGTTACCTCAACAGTAAAAACTGCAACATTTCTATACTGGACGATAAAGGGTTTAACGTAATACACATATCGGCAAAGAGAGGGTCTTTGGATGTATTGAGGTTTTTCATTGATGGTCGTTACTGTAATCCTGATATCACTGATGCTTCTGGTTGTACTCCACTTTATCTGTCAGCTCAAGAGGGTCACTTGGAATTAGTAAAATATCTATTGGATAGTCCAAGCTACAATAAACCACGTGTAGAATTAATAGACATGGCAGATAGCAATGGTAACACAGCACTTCATGCAGCATGCAGCCAGGGTCATCCTGATATAGTGTCTACTATAGCAGGAGCTTACATGTCTCTTAATATTGATATTTATTCAATTAATGAGAAGAGACAGACTCCATTACACTTAGCAGCAGCTAATGGTCACGTTAATACAGTCGTGTCTCTGTTATCAGTGACTACTGGTACTAGAAATCATGAGAAGCTCCTTGGAGCAGTGGATGGTGATGGTTGTTCTTGTCTTCATTTAGCTTGTCGAAATGGTCGCCAT